GCAGTGGCTCACGCCTGTAATCCCAGGACTTTGAGAGGCAGAGGTCAGAGGTTCGAATGAGCCTATGGGTTTGAGACCAGCTTGGGCAACATAGCAAGACCTCATCTCTACAGTAAATCAAAAAATTATCTGGGCATGGTGGCGCACACCTGTTGTTCCAGCTACTTGAAAGGCTGAGGTGGAAGGATCGCCTGAGACCAGCAGGTTGAGGCAGCAGTGGCCATGACTGTGACTCCGACTCAAAAAAAGAAAGAAAGGAAGGAAGGAAGGAGGGAGGGAGGGAGGAAGGGAGGAAGGAAGGAAGGAAGGAAGAAATTCTGCCAGTTAAAATAACTTGGTTTCACATGTGAGATGTTCTTGAAATCCAGAGATGCAATGGGTAAGCTGCATCTTAAAAATCAATAGACTACAGTGTATGTGAAAGTGCTTTGCTGTATAATCCTCAGGAGTCATTTTATTTTTGTTATGTGAGTCAGGGGAGTAAAGAAATGTTCTTAAGAATAAATTCCAGTGGGGAAGCACAGGCCATATTGGATGAAAAAACAGCTAGCTACAAGGAGGAAGAGAAGAAGGTGGTCTCTCTTGGTCTTTATTCATGGAGAATTGACTTTCAGTTGTTCATGGATCCTCACTTAGTTTAGTTTTCCATGTGCAGAAGTGTGTCTGTGTTAGGGAATTCTTGTTCTCAGTGAAAGTTGACTTCCTCCAGGTTGGTTTTGAGAGGAATCATCAAATTACCTCCTGTGCTAAATGTATAGACTTTTCCCTGTTTAGACTTTGTTGATTTAGAACTTGCAGATTCTTAACAACACTTGGTTAACTATATTTTTCTTAAGCATAGACTTAGGAAGTCTTTATTGTTTTCACAAAGGAACCTTTTGTTACTGAAAAAGAACTTTGTTCTGTTTGTGGTTCATTTTAGATTTCTCTGATCTTCACTGAAGTTATTTTAGACTCGAGAATGTGTTTTGCTCACATAGGAGTTTGACTTAGTTTTCCTTTTCTTTGAATGCTATAGCTTCACTTAAGAAAAAAACGGTGACGTTGTTAACTTGTCTCCCTGCCTTACCTTTGGTGCATCTGAACACTTAGCTAGCCATAGATGATGATTATTTTTTTAAGTTGGAATCTCACTCTGCCACCCAGGCAGGAGGATAGTGGCATGTTTACAGTTACCACAGCATCGACCTGCTTAAGCGATTCTTCTGCCTCAGCCTTCCAAGTAGCTGGAACTACCAGCAAGCACTACCACATCTGGCTAATTTTTTTTATTGTAGAGATGAGGTCTTGCCAAGTTGCCTAGCCTGGTCTCAAAACCCTGGACTCAGGCAATCCTCTCACTTCCCAAAGTGCTGGGGTTACAGGCATGAGCCACCATGTTTGGTCATAGATGATGATTTTAAGGAAAAGTTTATTTCTCCATAAAACATGAGTAACTGAGACTTAACAGCTTGCTCTAACAAAGAAAAGGTTCAGAATTACCATAGTTGAGTAAGATGTTTTGTGGATAACTAAGTCCTTGCTAAAAATAAGATGTAAAAATCTTTAACCTCTGGATAGGGATGGGAAATCTTTTTCTGTAAATGACCAGATAGTGAAATATTTATTTTATTTTTTTAAAAACAAGCTCTGCCAAGTTTTATTAGAGAACAATTTTTCATGGTTTACTTTTCACCAATCTGTTCTGGCATGCTCCTAATGCTATCAGAATCACCTGGATCAATGATAGCCAGTGTGTATACTCCATGGTATTTTCCGCACTCAGTGCCCAATTCAATATTATTGCCACTGGAGTGAGGGACACCAGTTTTGACCAACATAGTGCAGTGCTCTATTTTGGATTTCCTCAAAGCCAGGCAGCTTTTTTTTTTTGGCGAGGTTGACCAATTTTGCTTTGCCTTGTCTGATCATCTTCAGAATCTGCTCGTACCACAGTATTCACTTTCCACTTTTCATAATGAGTTAGAACCTAGAGTTGATCGACTCCAGCAACTTTTTGGTCTTCTTTGCAGCCACTGTCTTCGTGCTTTAGGTGCAGGATGACCCCCAACCAAGAGCAGCCACCAAGGTGGTTGGGAAGCAAGAAAGGCATGAAGTATTTTAGATTTCATGGCTCACATGCAGTATCTGTTGCTTGTTTTTTCTTTTTCTTTTTTTTTCTTTTTTGAGTTGGAGTCTCACTCTGTCGCCCAGACTGGA